ATTTAAATTATTTTACAGATTTCCAATAAAAAATCTAAACAGGAATATTCAGTGGTTCTACCATTTAGTAAGAATCGATTAAAAAACAGTTTCTCTTGGAGAAGATTTCGAGCTCTAACATATAAAAATGCAGCAGTTTTATACAAAGAYCATACGTAATATYTTTATATCAATTATTATTATTATTTTTTGAATWCRGTTATTTTCAGATTTTTATTCTTTACATTTGTTTTACCTCTGGTTCAAACTATTGTGTATAATTTATGTGTTGGACATAACATTCAAAATGTAAAGTTGGGAGTGGTTAATGATGAAATAAAAAACTGTAGCTCTGATTTATATCAGCGAAAATGTTTTTTAAATGACCCAAATAATACAAAATTGAGTTGTATGTTTATTGACCATTTAAGAGCATCCAATAATTATTTGGTAAATTGTGTAAAAATTATTAAAATTACCTATGTCAAATTAAACGTTGTATTTTTCAGATCTACTTCCCAAATCTGAAGTCTGGTAATGATGCATTAAATTCCAATTTTATATGGGGTTTAATTTACTTCACTTCAAACTATACATTGACTTTGAAAAATCGTCTCAATATCTTTGTCAATAGTTATGATATAGACTTTAGCTCAGTGCAAATCACGTTAGATTCAACCAGTAATTTATTAATATAATATATAATAAATTAATAATATTATTATAATTAATTATACAGAATAATGAATACATACTAACTATTTTAGATTACATCATGAAATTAAAAATAAAGGACGATATAACTTCAACGTTTGTGAAAACATTAAAAGAAGCAACTAAGTATTGTAATATAAGTGAAAAACCATATTCTTACCCAATTTCAGTAATATATATACAATTATAATTTTTAAACTATTTTTAGCATATCATTTTCACTATGTTATTGTTTACAGATTCAAAGTATAGGAAACGTTAAAGTCACTGAATTTATTCATTCAGCTTCTCCAGGATTTATAGTTTTGTAAGTTGAATGAATCRAGATTATTAATATGGTTGACTGCCTTTTAGTCCCGTGACTCTTGTAACTCGCATCTTGACAAGTCAGAATTTTGGATATCTTGAAACTTTAAATTTTCATAAATTCATAAGATTCTATTTTTCACTAATTTACTATTTTATATATTATTCGGATTTTCGTCATTCCTCTTAAAGTTATTAAAATTCAGCCATTTGTATAATACTTTAGATTTTGAGCGGAGCGAGGAATGTATTGATTTTACCATGATGTGTGTTTTTTTTGTGTCTGTCATCACGTTTTGGGACAGTAAAAGTGCTTCGATTTTCGACTTCAGTACCTCGTTCGATCAGAAAGTGAATCTAGTTGGTATTTGCCAACTGTTGGGTAAAAATTCCCAATATTTTTCTTAAATAATTGGGATAAACGAACTAAAAATTAAGGAAATTTGGAAATTTTTACGCACAATCAATTTGAATCAATCAAYTTTTTGATGTAACTTTAAACAAATTACCATAGATACATGAATTTTTCACCGAATGTTTATATAATAAGAATTTCTATCCACCAAGCAATTTTCAAAAAATGTCGACTTAAATTGATTTATTTATAGGCATATGAATTTTTTTATCATTACCTATTAGTTTTTATTTAAATTAATATCGATAAAAATGTATTTGGTTGGGTAGAAAAGCTTGAAAATTTAATAAAATGTTCCAAACATATTATTCCATTAACAGTTGAAAAATAAAAATAATACATAGTCACGATTTTTTTTATAAGCATTCAAAGTTTGAATTTTGACAAAATACGTAAAAATCACGAAAACTCACATATTATTTTAAGCTAGAAATTCATAAAAAATGTTCTTTTTAAATCTAAGATTTGAAAATTTTTAATAATCTATAATATATTCTAGACAGATAAACCGTCTCCGCTCAGAATCGTTTTTCGTATACAATATTATATATTATCATTAGATTCAAATTTAATTCCATCCATTACAGTAACCCACTTGTAACTTACTATGCAGCAGTGCGACATCTATGACTAACCCGCTTTTTTAAATATATTATTTAGTAGTTTTATGAATAAAAAATGTCTATTTTCTTTTAAAACGTTATTCTTACGATTTAATATTCTTCACTTTATTAATGAATTAATTAGTAGATATAATATAATATCTTGAGATTCAATAATTCTCTATGAAGTGATTGTTATTTGTTTTAAATTTATAATATAATAAAACATAATCTAAATTACCTGTTATGTTAATTTTTGACAGTTAAGTTTCGAATTATATCGTGCCTTTAATTTTCTGCAGTTTCTATGTATTCAATTGGATACATTGTTATCTTACCTTATCTATATTTACTATATAATTTATAACATAATATTTATGTTTAGATTAGCTTTTTATTTCCCAATGATTTTATCAACTGGATTACTGTTGTCGGAGAAAGATGAGGGAATAATAAGTCGAATAATGGTTGCAGGTAAAATTATTATAAGAATAATTAATGAATTAGCTAAATTATTTAAAATATTATATCTTTGAATTTTAAAGGGGTAAAATTCTTTGAATATGTTGTGTCTGTAGTATTTCTCCAGACAATGGTCCACATTATACAATCATCGATTGAAATATTTATTATGTATTTTGTATTTAATAACCCAATTTCATCAAATAACTTTTGGATATTTGCAATGGCTATAATGATTATTGGATATCAAGGAATGTTCGCAGGTAAGTTTGAATAAGAGTTCATATTTGTATATTACATTATTAATAAAGTTAATCTATTAATAAATGGTTATACTAGATATATATATYCATGAAATATAATAATTACAAATTGAAATAAAGTAGTTGAGTGGGGACCTCTGGATTGAATATTTTTATTTTACTTCAAATGATCATTCTGTAATAGTTTTTTGAAGGTCAGATTAGTGGAACTACTTATGAGCTTTCTGGACTATTATTGAAATCTGTAATTTCAGTGGTACATTTTTTTATGGGTTATTGTACATTTAAATAAACAGGGTCTTCCAAATGTTCCAAATGTATTGTGGWGATGTCGTAAGATTCATATTAATCTCCATGATTGTTGTCATACACCGGTAATTTTGAAGGAAACAATTTACAGATTTTATATACATAAATAATTTTTATCAATAATATTTATGTATATGTTTTTTATCAACTAAAAACATAGGTAATTGTTAATATATATGGAAACTAATAGTATAGTACTATAGCGTATGAGTTTAAAATGTTTTTATAGTAGTTAATAATAAATCGTKTTTAGGAATATTAGTAGCTACAGTATCGAAAAATTACACAATGGCAACCCACATTAATATGGGAACGAATGTCTTATTTTCATGTTTATGCGGTAAGTTATCTGTATTTCGTGAGTCCGTTTAAGATATTACTTAAATTGAACTGAGCTGAAAATGGTTTAATATTTTAAATTATAATTTCTAGGACTTATTTGGCCGATGGAAAGCGCACATCCTGTTTTAAAAGCTTTCAATCGCTTTTTACCTTTATCTATTGCGTCGGAAACAATTGGAAATTTGACWCTTAAAGACTGGCCTTTACATCATCCTTTAGTTCTACGTGGATTAATATTGACAATTTTATGGTTAATAATATTTGCTGCACCAGTGTGTTTTTTTAGTTTATTTAAAAAAGATACATGGCTCAAACCAAAATAGAAACTTTAAAGATAAAATTAAATAACTATAATTCATAACTAATTGTTACATATAATTTGTGATATTTTGATGTAATTCTCATGAGAATTCCTTATGTTTTAAAAATATATTTTAATAGTTTTGAAGAATTATCTAATTCCTAATATGCATTTTATATTTAATACAATATAGATAACATTTATGTTTCCTTAATTTCAATGTATTATATTATTTAAATTTTCGAACGGTTTATACTTAATAACCTAAAAGGTTTTTAAATTAAAATTCGTGTATCTATTATAGTATTATGTAATCATGATATAATATACAAGTACCTATTTTACGCGTGAGAAAGCAATTCGAATAACTATTATACGAGTAGGTACCGTATGTCTGTATGACGTATGTATAAATTTATACAGCCTTGTTAGTAGTGGGATCTTAACAGTGTTGTGTATTTGTGTATAGTGCACATTAAAAAAGCTAACAATTTAACTATTCATGGCATATGATGTGCAAACAATTAATCATTTCAGTTACATTGACATAACATGTGGTCAAGTGAGTTATATACATATACTGTTTTATGTCCTTGGACGTACAATAGGCAATAAGAACGAGAATTAAAAGTCATATAAATTGCAATGAGAATTTATTTGATAATGAAGATCATTAAAGAATTCAGTAATCACCAAACTCATAAATTAAAATGCAAAATAGTTCATTTTACAGATAAAAAATAATAAATGACGTTTCCCAAATAAATAATAGAGAATACAGCCCTTAATTATAGTGTTGTAATTTTGAATAACTGTTACCCTGAATTACTTCCCAAYTCTTACTATTACGTATATTTTAAAAAGCATTTTTACAATAATTTCTAAATTTTTCAATAGTTCTATAATTTCCATTAGACTCACCTAATGAAATAGACTACACTATAAAATACAAAATTTAGTAGGTATTGAATACAGATCAGTTAAATAGTATACACGTTTTGTTTGCGTATTATACAATTCAATCCTTAGTTATTTATATCATAAGTTATAATATAATCCGAACCTCTAATATTCACTCATGTATGACTTGCATATGACATGTTTCAAAAATTGTTAGTGGAATTGTACTACAAAAATACCAGATAGACGTTAGTTAGTAAAAATTACATTTTAGTCAATATGCTGGGATTTCGTTCTTGAACGACTTATTTAATATATATATAGTATGCATACTATATATATATACATGTATAATGTATATACATAGTAATTCAATGCTCTCAGGAATTGTTATAGTTGGTAAATAGTTGGTGATATAACAAAAACAGTCCTTCGAAAGSCAACAATTCAAATGTATTATTTGTTGTACGATATTTTATGATGTATTATACATTTATATACATAAGTTATAACGGTGAATTAACAAATATACAAATAGATTATAAAATTAGGCGTATTTAAATATTACAACATACSTGTCCTTTGACATGGTTCACACTAATACTCTATGTGACTATTCATTAAAAATGAAAACCAGTTAGTAGTTTCGTTGTACCGCTAAAGATTTCTCAGTTTAATAAATTAATAAAGTGGTTAGGGTTCATTAATGTTAACAATTAATTCCCTGATAATATATTTATAAAGAAAATCAATTCATAAAATTAAATGACATACGCCGGTCAGTTGATTTATGGAAGCAATTGCAGTATTTGATATATAAACTACTGAAGTGATAAGAATCATACATGTATAAAATACAGTACCTAAACGTCTTAAACATACAATTAGTAGAAATAGTTTGTACAAAATGAGTCAAGTTAAAGTAATTTCATACAGTAAACAAAGAGAATACTTATTTAAAAACTAAATTAATTATTTTTGATAAAATTTGGTGATTGTTTGTCTTTGAAAATATAATTTGTAATATAATGTAATAAACTCTAAGAGTATTCGAGAATTATAATAACTATCAAGGTTAGCGTTAAGCATCATTCATTTATCATCATACATTTTAATAGGACACTTTTAACACGTCTATCATTCAAGTTAAATAAACATTTAATAATTATTGCTCATAAAGTCATAAATTATATTTGAAATATTATGAAATTTACTAGCAAATATGATTGAATGTTTAAATGATTATTGTGCTAGGATGGAATATTCAACGTGAAACAACTATTGAAGATGGCTGAAATAGGAACTAAAAAGATGCAGGTAGAATCTGAGTTAGCTATATGTATTTCAAACGCCTTTAAATATTTTTCAACTGACASTTGTGTTCTAAATGACTTAAATATGTGTGTACCTTTAGGATCGATGTAAGTATTAACGTTCTTTAATATAATCATTATAAAAATCATTGTAAATATAAGAGTGTTGTACACAATGGTTCCTAATAAATTTAACTTTTTTTTTTTTAATAATATATTTATACATATTTTTATTGATATTTCAAGTATTTATCAGATAATATTAGGTATGTAATAAATATATAAGTTTTCATTAGTTTTGATATAAATAGTTAATGGTATTTTGTTTCAAAATATAAGTAGATAGAAACTATTTTAGAGTTTAAATTATTATATTTTCAACGACAAAAAAATATTGAGACACTTGTTTAGTATGTTGATTGGATCATTCTTTTTTAAATTATACTTTACAATTTAAAATACCCGGAATATTGTTTTTTATTTTTAGATATGGTCTTTTAGGACCAAGTGGCTGTGGAAAAACTACATTAATTAATATTATTCTTGGAAAACTTCCTTTGGATTCTGGGATTATTAAAATAAATCCTAATAAATTTTCAGATATTGGATATATGCCTCAAGTAAGAAATTTAATGATTTTTTTACTGATTGAGGTAAATGAGGTTACATGAATCTTATTATTACAGGACTTGAGTTTAGATTTGATGCTTACCATAGGTGAAACATTCAAATATTATGGTTCATTGTATAGAATGAATGAAAGTGATATTTCTAGTAAAAGTAAAGAACTTATTTCTTGGCTTAGATTACCACAGGATAATGCTCTTTTAAAAGATCTAAGGTTGGACATTAATATTCAAATTAAAATTGAATTATGCTTCCCTTTGATATTTTTGAAAATTTTGCATACATTTTACAAGAATTATTTATGGATTTTCATAGTGGAGGTGAGTGTAGAAGAGTTTCATTSGCTGTCGCGTTACTTCATGATCCAAAAATCATAATACTAGACGAACCTACAGTAGGAATTGATTCATTACTAAGATATGAGTAAGCTGTAGCTGATAACACATAATATTATAATGAAGGGTGACATCATTAATTTAGTCGTCTAACAATCATTTATTATAATCAGAATTTGGCAAAAACTATTGGAAATGGTTAAAGTGCAAGCCAAAACTATATTAATTACAACGCATTATATCGAAGAAGCACACCAAGCACAAACTGTAAGAAAATAAAAACATTATATATAAGCATAAAAATAAATAACTGAGTTTTTTTTAGTATGATGAATATAATGTTTTTAAACTATTTATAATTTTTATTTTAAAATGTCTACAATTTTTGACTAAATTGTTAATTTCTATAGTTAAGTTTTACATAGCCGAATATTTTTTTAAATACTAAATACTTTTTGACCATACATTTTTTTTAACATGTRTAGAAAAAAAAACTAAAAAARTTGAAAATATAAACTTTCAATAAATCTAAAAATAGCTTTAAATTTAAAAGCAATTATTCCTGCGATTAATATTTTATGAATATTATAAAAAGAAAAAAATTTAAAAAACGTTATTAAATGTTAGAATATTTTAAATCGTTATTATAAAATAAATAATAACTGGTGTTGGTTATCTCTTATTATATTATTATTATAATCGTATTTTTATTTTCCATTTAAAATTAATATTTTATAGATAGGTTTGATGAGAAATGGTGTTTTAATATCAGAATCTTCTCCTCAAGACTTATTGGTTAAACAAAATGCCAACTCGTTAGAAGAAGCCTTTTTATCCTTATGTTCTAGTCAACAATTAGATGGAGTAAAATAATTTTAATAACTTTATAAAATATAATTGTTTAAAACATATATTTTTCATATAGATAACTCAGAGGGACAATATTTTCAAAAGTACGAATGTATCATCAAACATTTTGCACGCTGACAACGGAATATCATTCATTAGGATCGGTGCATTTATAAAGAAAAATATAGCCATTTGTTTAAGGGATTTCACGTAATTGTTTTATTTGAGCCATAATCATAATTTAAAATAAAAACAATATTTTTCATTACAGGTTTATATTTTTCATGATCTTATTTCCAATGTTGGCAGCTATTATTTTTAATTTAGCTATTGGTGGTAGTATTAAAAACGTTAATATAGCTATTCAAAATAAAGAAGTCACTAACTGCCAGAACATTGCGGTTAATCATTGCATTTATGAAGTTACTAACAATTTCACTCTTAGCTGTGTTGTTATAAACGGTTTACGAGCTCTAGACTACAATTTGGTAAAATTACTAATTAATACAATAATTATAGTATTATGTTTTAATATAATGTACGGCATATTATGCATAATTATACAATTCAGATCCCAGTTAAAAATCAGGAAGAAGGAGACGTTTTAGTGAAAAAAGCTGAATCAGTAGCATTCATTCAATTTCCTCAAAATTTTAGCATAGGACTTCAACAATATGTTCTTGGTTCGTGGTTTTCTACCAGTGAATATTCGCTAAATACGGTAGCTTATGCAAATATCGATATTGGAAGTTAGTATAGCATACTGAAAATATTTATAGAAAATTTAAATAAATGATTTTTTTACTTTTGGGTATTTTTTTTTTACAATTTCACTTTTAAATGGTTCCTTAGTTGTGATCTACAACAACTTACTATTTCATAAATTATAGTATTGTAAATCACGTAATCCGTATTAAAAACACGTTTTAAGACTTAATATTTTAAAAAGATGATATTATTTCAATTTTTAGGTGTTTTGGTAAAAAGTCAAGTCATTCGAAATCTATTAAATGTTGTCGAAAATGTTATTATAAATAGTACTCTAGCGTGTAACGAAAAGTTCGTCAAGCAACCTTTTGTAAGTATAACATTATAGTTTTTTTTAAATAGCAGAGCAGTACGAATTAAACTTTCTAAGAATTGTATCAAATATAATACGTATTCTTATCCAATCAATAAAAACAAAATATCACTATAATTTTATATAAAAAAAATAAAAATAAAAATAAAAAATAGTATAATATTTTAGCCTTGAGATTATTTACATCGGAAATAAAWATCTTTTGAAAAATATGTCAAGACCCATTGAAAATTATGGTAGCTTAGGTAGCTTTCTCGTTTGATTAATATAGTAATACAATTTCAAAACCTTTTCAAATGCGCATAAATGATAAGAAATATATTATTTGAAATTGATAAAAATATATTTAATATTAAATTATGCCATTTTTATATTTTATTTTAGAGAACTACGTATCTAGTGGGAAACAAAGTTGAAACATTTATTCATAGTATAGCTACTATGTTTGTTTCGATGTAAGTATATTTTAAATGTAAATATATTAATACAATTGTGAATGATTAATTCATGCCACTCAGATTAAACTAAATTTGTGTTTTATTTRTTAATTTTATATTGTATATAATATTGAATGATGCTACTTATTGTCATTTTTTTCATTTACATCACACAAAATAAATCGTAAATTATAATCTGTATATTAGCTCTTACCTAAATTTGCTTAGTAATATATAATTTTTTTTTATTGAATTTATAAACATCAACAGCAAAGGTTATTAGTATTAGTTTTTTGTTTAAGACATAATGAGTGATTTCTAGAATTTAATTATACAATTAATATGGTGTTAAATTCACAAGCATTAAATATTATGGTTATCGTTAGTAGAAGGCTTAAATTGTATTGTATAATTTGTATAGGTCGGGTTTTCTTAGGAAAGCTAACTTATTTGCGACTTTTTAATGTATAATTTATCTAAAAGGGTTATACGTATAACATCAACGCATCGYCATAGTTTTTAGATTAATACGGTTACTCTAACTCTTTACCTTCTTATTCATAGTTCTGTAGTTGTTTTAAGTGTTATTAATAACTAATTGTTTTTAAATATCTCAATAAAATGTATCTCTATTCAAAATTTAGTTCATGAAACAACAGATTGTTGGTGATTTATGTTTTGTTGTTGTTGTATATGCTGTAGTCTGTAGGTCAATTTATTATTCATCTTTTAACCTCATTATTTTAACATTGAAACTGGTTTGACAAGTTTTAAAAGTCTCAATAATAATATTATACATCTTAACCAATGTAAGACATAGGTATGATGCAACTTTATTAAACTTACGTGGTTTAAAGATATGTACCGCGAATTGTAGGTAACATTTTATAATAATTAAACTTGTTACAAATTTTTGAGCAGCTATAACTACATACAACTTAATTATTTACAAAATGTCACCGTTTGTATGATATATAAACAAAAGTTTTTTGCGATATCTTATAATTTGTTTATCAATATGAATAAGAAACATCTTAAGATATTTAGATTTTTGATGTTTTAATTCGCTATTTAACTATTTTTAAATTACCCACGAGGAAAAGATTTATGATTTTTGAAATTATATAAACATATTATTATATTTCCAGGATAGGATTTTATTTCTCAAGCGTAATATCTACAGGATTTATGTTGACAGAGAAAATGGAAGGTTTTCTTGATCGATCTATGACAGCTGGTAAACAACGAAACAATATTATTTTAATAATGGGTACCTACATTGTTATTATAAATGTCAATGAATTGTTTGCTTATAGGGATTACAATACTAGAAGTTGTAATTTCAATAATGTGTATTCAAACTGTAATACACATAATTCAAACTATTTCTGTTATGTTTGTCACATACTTTGTTTTCCTAAATCCTATCGAAATCACTAACGGGTTATTTGCATTTGCATTTATAATTTTATTAACTGGATGGTTAGGTTTACTCTATGGTATGTATATTTTTATTTTTTATTTGCTATTTAGTTTTACTGATTATTTTGTATAGTGTCTTAAGTATATTCTCCACTAATGTTGTTTAATTTAGTTTCAGCTATGTATCTATAGTTATTATTTTAGGATTATATTTTTGCTCTTAAAATGAACATCTATTGAATTAAATTTTTTCATATATTCAAGGTTAGAAATATTATATGAACCAGACAAAAATAAAATGTTTAACTTAAATTCTTATTTTGTCAAAAAAAATTTTATTTGAAACACCGTAAAATTCCTGAGAAATTATTTTGTGCTATTTTATTGTAGGTTTGTTAATCGTTGGCTTATCCAAATCAAGTTCCGAAGCCATGAACATGATTATTGGTTGGAACATGATACAGATTTATTTATCGGGTACGTTTATCATGTGATGTTATTTAAGTCTTTACAAATATTTGCATGTAACATATTATCTAGCAATCTACTAGTTAGATTTTTAGTTTAAATTATTTGTTCATTCCTCTAGGTATAATGTGGCCGATTGAAGCTCAGATGCCATTCATGAAAATCGTATCTGAACACCTTCCATTGTGCTACATAAGTCGAATATTGAATAATATCGTTTTAAGAGGATGGACTTTAGGACACCCTACTGTCATAATCGGAACAGCAATCATCATTGGTTATGTTTTTTTACATGTAATTATGTTATTGTACTTAACTCGCATMAAAAAAGATGCCTGGTTGTTAAATAAATAATTTTGAGTGTTGATTTTATTCAACTTGTGTAAATAAATTATAACCAACTTTATGAATTAATTATATACAGACTTGGTGCGTTATTTTTTTAACACATTTTGAATCAACCTATTAGCGTTGACTGAATACCATCTTAAACTTGTTATATCATTCTATACGTTGCGTTAACTTAAAAGTTCTCAAATTGTTTTTGTATAACTTGATTTTGAATAAGCTGAGTATATTTAAAATTAATTACATTTATCACGTATCAAGTATAAATAGAAATAATACTATTGATATTTTGTGAGCAGCTCTCACCTACGTGTTTTTGCCTAAAATGACAGACTAAAAAATTGAATATCGCACTTAAACTAGTTTTTTTAGTCCTGTATATTTACATTTTAACATTTAAGTTATTTCATACTTATTAAACGATTTCTTAACTATATATTGTTGATTTTACAAATTATTTAGAATAAAATAATTCATTTTTAAATAACTAWGTGAGTAAATGCGCTCATGAAAAACTGCAGTAGTCTATAATTTAATTTGTTGCTTTATGACGTATAGGTGTACTTAGGTAAACCATCGAACTGTACAAAACTTAGTTTTTTTTTTGTAATTATGATTATTATTGTTATTTATAATTGATTAATAAGACAATAACTATAATTATGTTGAAAAGAATTGAGACCACCAAAATAACAAAATAAATATACAAATCTATAATACCGGTAGATATTGAAGGACATATAAAAATTACTCAATTTCATTGTATATGTATTAGCGACATAATTTTTAGATGGCGTGTTTAAGCTTTATAAGCCTCTAAACGATTTATTTTTAACAAACACAATTATAATCAAATAATTTGGTTACTAGTAAACGGAAAAATAAATTGCTTTTGCATTGCTTATTTATATATTGTTTGAATTTATAATTTATCTTGTATTCTTATTACAATGCAATTATTATACTATAATACATTTTAWATTATTTGAATTTTATTTTTATTTTCATTATTTACAATAATTAACATACGTAAATATGTTATTTATAATAGTATTAGATGAGAATCAATGGAGTGATTAGGAGAAAAGAATTATTTAAAACTATGGTGTTCACTAGCTATATATTGTTAAGGATTTTATATATTATACAGATGGATATTAAATCATAAGTAGGTACTASGTGTACTTATATATATATATATTATTTTAAATGAAGCCATGAGAACAAAGGTTAGGTTAGGTTAGGTTGGGTTATTACTTATATTACTATCATTGATTTATTAAAGTCAATTATTCTAAACATGGTTTTTAATAATATAAATAATTGTAGTTAATGGAATTATAAATTACAACTAAGAATATTTTTGAAAAATTATTTTCCTTTCATTTTTCAGACTATGAGGACTGAACATATAACTATGAAAATATTGATCTTGTTGTTTTTGTTGTCTTTGACTAAAAAATGCTTTATTAAAATTTAGTTATTGTGGTAAGCATTTGTAGGAATGTACTATGATAATCCTTGAACAAAGGCCAAATAACTTTTAGATGCAATCTTTTCATTTTTTCTTGTTATAAATTATGTATATTTTTCTATAATTCTTCTGCTTTTCGTTCTCTGACTTTTGACTTTTCAAAATAATATATGTATACATTTTGCATGTTTTTTTTAAATATCCAGGGTCAAAGACGTGGATTTTACATAGAAAATTATGATTGATCCTTATTTTCACGTTCACATACTTTGGCCAAAAGACCTCATGTTACAGTGACTATTCTAAAACATGTGTGTACATAAATTGCGTTTTGCTCAAATTTATGATTTTTTTATTATAATATATTTTATTAATACCATCAGTACACTAAACAATTAGATATAATCTTTTAAAAATTGAATTTCCTCGTTTTTTCTGGCCAATTCATCATGCATATACATATATATATATATATATATATATATTATGTTATGTACTTAATTTAAATCCAAAATTATCAACATAATTATTTGTTGAAAAATTAAGCTGTAATTTAATATTAAAATTAAAAGGTTTTGATTTACAGTTGTAATTGTTTAATTACCAAATGTATTAATAATAGATATTAATAAGACAAGTTCTTATCCTATTAAGTAAAAATTCAATTAGTTAAATGTGTCAATAAACCATAGTAAAATAAAAACATTTTGTGCCCTGACAAAAATAAAAAAACTTTATTAGGTATTAACCTGATCCCCACCTATTAACCGTCACAATGGCTCTGTAGGTAAGCCATCAAGGACATCAAGAAACCTATTCCAGGCACCGTCACTCAAATCACGATTTAACAAATATACTCTTTCTATTTTTTTTCTTTAATGTGTGTTACGTATTCTTTAAAATGTGTTTACTTTTACTTAGTGGTTCGTTAATATTTGAACTATTCGTATTTCAAATATCGCATCGTTTATTTTTTTAATAGTTTGTAGTTACTAGTCAGTATAAGTTTCTCAAATCGTAATTCAAACTTTTTTAATTTTAGAACTGTGGTATAGTGAAAATGTTAAAGAATATTATCTAGAAAAAATTCAATACTTTTATTTAATTTAAAAGGTAATTGTATAAATAAAATGGAACAAAATATGAAAGAAGAAAAAATTAAATATGACATAACAGTGACAAATGCTTTTAAGAAGTATGGGCAAAATAATGTATTTAACGGTTTAAACATGACTGTGAAATCCGGTTCAATGTAAGTAATTTAATTTTTATAATAATTGAAAGTATAATTTTTATGCAATTTAAAAAAAATATAAAATAAATAATGATATTTTACTATTACATATATTATTTCTAAGATTATCATGATCAGTGTTATAAATATATGAAATATAAATTAGGATTTTTATTTACTCATTACCTATTAGACTTAAATTTAGTGTTAACGTATTATAAAGTGTTTTAAAAGATTTTTTTGGTATTCTCGTTTATCAAGCTAGCCAGTGTATTTCTTGTGTATACAAGTACATATACTAATTATAAGATATTACTCTTAGATTTTTATATATGTTTACTTTTGCTAAAGGGCTGAGATCGTAAAATAAAAAAATAAATTATATATTTATGATTTTTAATTTATAATATTATTTAATATATCAGTTCTAAATTTATGAATGTAAAGTATATGTTTTTGAGAACATTATACTGTCGAAATTGTGTAAATATGTATTGCTCTAAAGAATGATAATAATTGTTTTAAAATTAATCCTATGGGGTATAATCATTGTCGGYTCAGGTTTYATTTGAGTTTATTTACTTGTTAGGGTGCYTTTTAGTTTCATATACCAATATATACAATGGAGTTGTGTAGATAATATACTTTAGTAACGAATTATATTTTATTAAAATGTTGATTAAAATGTATGTAATTAAAAATGTCCATACTAATTTATTAACCAAAATATTATTGAGCCGGTCCTGGATTGATTTTTTTCTTATTCCAACTTTAAATTAAAATATTTATATTTACTATATTCTACTATAATACAATTTAGTAATAGATTTTAAATAAAAAGTTATTTAAATATTTTTTTTAAAAAGATTAAATAATTCAAGGGCTAATCAATAATCATAATATATTTGTTTTTAATATCAACTCAATAAAATATAATAATCAACAAACATGAAAAACCATATATCCTCGATTTCATAAATAAAAATTAAAAAATTATTAAGCTATATGCTAATACAATGCTGAATTAAAAATGTGAATATGATTCACGTACTATGGACTGTGGCTCACACGTATCGCATTCCTAACACTTGAGCATAAATGCATAATATACTAGTTATGCATTATAAATCATAAGGTAGTTATAATAAAGGTACTGAACAAAATTATGAACGTACCTTTGTTGAATTTACAATGATGTTTTTTCTGTATAACTTTCTCTAAACACTTTTTCTTATCTATCAGATAATTTCACATGGCAACACTAAATCAAGATATTGAAGTTTACTATACTGTTTGTGCAACAGTTTATAATATTTAAAAATGTCATAAAAATAATTAATAATATTAAAGATTTTTCCATTCATGAAACATAATGATGAATATGAAATGAGTGACCTTGATACATTGGTATGTTTAAGCTTTTAATATCCCATACTACAAATACAATTAATAGATAATACAAATATCTAAAAATAATAGTGGTATATTATTTTTAATAACAATCCAATAATGATTAAGCAGATGCGAATGCATACTATTTCTACACTAATTACGTAGTATTTTTGTACTAATTGTAAAGGACTAATATAGTAATATTCTTAAATTTATTTTATTTATTAAAAATCATATTTTACTTAAATACAGTTGGTTCTCATAACGACATTGTTATAATTTGCCTATACACTATGCAAAAATATGGTGTCATTAGCCACTAAACTACACTATTTTACATTGAAATGTTAAATTTTTTCTAGTTATGGTCTGTTAGGTCCAAGTGGTTGCGGTAAATCRACACTTCTTCAATGCATTTTGGGAGCATTGCCATTGGATTCTGGTTATATTGATTTACAAGTCAAAAGTTTAAAAGATGTTGGATATATGCCTCAAGTAAATATTTAAACTAATTTTAGCATATAACTGATTTATTAAAATTTTTTACTTTTTTAAGGATTTATGTCTGGAAGTTACGCTAACCATAAAGGAAACCTTCGAATACTACGGATCACTTTATAGAATGAGCAAGATAAATATTAAAAATAAATTAGATGAGCTTAATGAATTCCTACAACTACCARATTTAAATAGTTTTATTAATGAAATAAGGTAAAAAAAAAAAAAAAAAAAATGATAAAACTACAGATTATATAGTATGATATGGATTAAAGCAGTACGTGGACTGCGTAAATTAATACTGCAATAATATTTCATACAGTATAATTATTTTACATCAAGCTTTTCTACATTTATTTGTGATTATATTAAATAATGTTTTTGAAGTATTTATTTTCCTAAATAAATGTATTGTGTAAACCATATTTATATGTAGATATTTTATATTTCATATTAAGTTATTATTTTGTTTTTCACAATACTATGCAATCTGTACAATTGGTGTATAATAAGCATATATGTTGAGAGCTACACGATACTAAGTTATTTAAAATACAAAATTATATAGATAGTGCTTAATTAATTAATAAATTCAATCGATATTCAAATACCTCAGTATTAAATTTTCAAAATTATATTAAAAAGTTAAAATAACTTTTTATAACTTATAAATCGAACTATTCAAATTTCATTGGATAGTACTCATCTTTGATTGATTTAGAGTTTGATAAAACTCGGTTTTCAGGAAGTCTTGTATTTGAATAGATTAAATTATAACTAAAATTGCATTAAATTACTAATACTTTTTTAATATCTATCGATATTTAGGTTATGTAGAAAGAAGTATTATTAAAAATATCAACTTATTAGTATTAATTTATTTTATTAAATGATAACTCGTAATAAACTAATAATCATTATTTATTTTTTATTTATTTAGTGGTGGTCAGAGTAGAAGAGTATCTTTCGCCATTAGCTTGTTACATGATCCCAAAGTTATGATTTTAGATGAACCTACAGTTGGAATTGACCCTTTACTGAGAGAAGGGTAACATGAATTATTACAGTCAAGTTAAATTTAATTTTTAATATCATAAAAATGAATTTAGAATTTGGACCGAATTTATGAAAATGGCAAAAGAACAAAAAAAAACAATCATAATAACGACTCATTATATCGAAGAAGCAAATAAATCTGATTGCGTAAGTAAATATACATATGAAATGATATACAAGGTGATTCACCAGCATCAGCTCACTCCCTTTTTTTTCTTTAATAATGAAGTTATTCAAAATCTGATTTTTGGAATCTTTAAATATACTCAAAGGCCATATTTTCAGGTTATTGAGATTTTTATACCACTTAAGAAGTGTCCTGTGGCGACAAACTCTTGTTTTCCAAACGATAACCCCAAATTTTTACTGTAAATTATTTAGTGAATATTTTTTGTTGAGAATTTTGATTATTGAAATMAAAATTTTGATGAGTAGTTTTTAAGTTATTTAACTTTGTGTTCTAAGGATAAAAGATCCATGGTTTAGGTTTATGAGATATGTGGTTTATGTCGGAATTGGAAATATAAGTCATTAATATTAATCTATTAACATAAATAATTATTTATATTATTTAACATAACTCATATGACACTTATTAAGTACATATACCCAATTTCATAAATTTATTTTTATTTAAAAAAGTGTATAATTTATAGCTTTTTGTAGCTTAAAATTCAATACATTTAACTTCTAAAATATTTCTTCTATCAATGGAGAAATGATGATATAATATTACTGTGCACGTTATATTATAAAATTTTTATATCTATTTTTTTTATAAAATATATTCTTATAGGTCGGTTTAATGAGAAATGGATTGATAATTGAAGAAGGACCACCCCAAGATATCCTTGTCAAATATGGTACAGACACGTTGGAATCAGCTTTTTTAATGCTTTGCTGTAATCAAAGAACAATTATTAAAGTACTGTACCTTGACATATTTAAATATAAATATATTATTTATGAATGCGTATTGCGTAGTTACAAGACGATAGATAGGTAATTCATGTACGCGCACCTCAAAATTGTGTTTTGTGAGGGAAGCTAATATAATATCATCATCACATACCTACGTAAAAATTGATAACTTATATCAACGATTGATAATATTTAGTTATATCCACTTATCGTAAAGATAAAAACAAACGTATTGTTGTGATAAACTGGTAAATGATTACCCTATTCCATTAATGCAATGTAGATATAAAATAAAAATAGTAGGAACAAGGAAACACTAGCTCTATCTAAGCGCCTCAGTTTTTTAATTATATAATTTAATTATTTGCTGTTGAAAGCTTCGTACCAGTGCTTCAAAATTTTATAATAATGGAATAAAAAAATAAAAATGTTTCACTACAATTTAATATTGTACAGTATTATGAAATGTCATTAAAGATTAACAATAAACAATAAATGAACATAACATATCGTGAAAAAAAAATTTGAAAATTGAAATTGAAAATAATGATATTCGAAAAACGTTTATGATTTTTTTTACACTGAAAACATGAATCCAGGTGACCTAGTCAAAAAATCCTAAAACAAATAAAAGTATAATTAAAAAAAAAAAAAATCAATAATGGGAAAAGTCAAATAACGTTTCAACGTACAATAACGTTAAAATTTAAAATTGCTTAATGTTTAAATACCTTAATATGTATAACTGTATTTTATTTTAAATTTAAGCCCTGTAGTATATATTCTTTTTCACTATTTAAATAATTATGTTGCAAGTAGGTGTATTATCTAACTCTGCCGGATTAAAACCAATTTATCTACCTATCGTATTTCGTTTTTCCGTTATGTCTTGTAGACAATATTTATGAAAATTCCATAAAAATAGGTGCATCTGTTTCAAAGCTCTTCCATGACATACAGCCAATACACATTTGCGTGTTTAATGTAATATTACATTAAATAGAGTTCGCTTAAATAAACTATTATAGCGTTTACAATTTTAAATGTAAATACTTTGAATTTCTTATTAACAAGATGAGTGAATGAAAAAAAAAAATAATAAAAATATTATCGTAAATAATACAAGAGTCAATTTATTCAAACTTTGTGGTAAACTATGTCTTTAATCATATAGTTTGTAGAATGAACGCATATGAATTTATATGCATTCTTACTTTAGAGCAGATGAGAAATTAATTTGTTGTGATAAAAGCAATATTTTTCCAAACATATCCCCCCACCTATATTTATATTAAAAATATTTAGTTTCATTGATATTATAATAAAAMAAATCATACTAACTATTTATTTTTTTCTGTTACCAATGACAAACAAAAAAAATTTCAATTTTCATGTRATAAAATTCGTGCGTGGAGCCCATATTTAAAATTCGAATGTCCAATTGTCCTTTCTTAATGGACCCTTATATTGAGGTACAACGGTATCATGAAAATATCAAGTCTCTGAATATCACAGTTTTGGTTATGTATTGATCAGTCAGTTAAGGTATCTCATAACATATAGATAAATTACTACCATAGAAACATTGTTAACAAGGATAACAAAATCGTTTATATTGGTATGGATATGATGTCACATATTATATTGTTGCTCCACAAAATGTATGCTACACTAGTATTCTATGGTCTGATGATCGAAGTATTGAGACGAAGGTCAAACTTTCTATGCAGCGATATCTGCATACAATATAGCTGTACTTAATATGTTCGTACGTAATAAGTTCATAGGAAGTTTGACCGACGCTATATTATAGTGGTGGGAATTGAGGGCCCATGTGAAAATTTTTAAACTGGGGCCTTTATCTGTTATTAAAAATGAAAAACAGTCGATATACCTTATTAAAATTAAAAATATTGTTTTCTCACATATAATAATAAAATTGATAATTATTAGTTAAATTAATTTTTTTTATAAAATCTAACACAAATTATCTCTTCTTGTATATACGACAACAAAGTCATTAATTATTTTGTTTGTATCCAAATATCCAATTCAGCTATTACTGAATATTATATAAGAGATATAAGGAGTCGATGCCGCCCTAAAATCGGGAGCTCYTGTGCATTGCACACCCAACGCTCTTGATAATTGTGTCACTGCTATATTGTTATAATGTATATCAGAGAAAATTAAGTTTAAAAAATTTATAAAAATTCTAACATTATTTATTTTCAATGATCCTGTGTTGCAATGATTTATAATTGGTTTCAAACCTGCAAAATTAATATTATAAGACTGCCTTGTAGTTATACCGGTTATTTCAATACTTTTATCTATTTAGAAAGTTAACAACACTGTTCAAGTAAAAGAAAAAATTCAACCAAAAACAATAATGGGATCGGGAAACGTTAATTTATATAGAATTAAAGCACTATTAAAAAAAAATTATCGGGTATGCTCTCGAGATTATTTGTAAGTATAAATTTGAAATTATTTTATTTTAATGGATTAATATTTGATACTAACTAGCACTATATAATATAGATTGTTATTTACTGTGATCTTACTTCCCATATTGCAAACATTCAATTTTTGTTTTGCGATTGGAGTACCGTTCAAAGGTATGACAATAGCTTTTAAAAACGATGAGATTAATATTTTAGATTGTCAATATTCAAATGTTAATCAATGTATTTTCGACGAAAATAGTAACCTGAAAATGAGCTGTGTTATTATGAATTACCTCTCATCACATGATTATGAACTAGTGAGTAAAATATAAAAATATGTTTTATGTATTAATTTTTCATTGATAAAAATAATGAGAAAGTTACAAATCATTAACTAAGAAAAGATTGGCCAGTATGGATTTTAACTTCAAGCGATTTTATTTATGATTTATTGATTTAAATTACAGGTCGAAGTACAAGATCGGGAAGTCGCTGAAGCTAGTATGAATCATAAAAAGTATATTGCATTTCTATATTTTCCTAAAAATTATACTAGTGCTTTGACAAAATATATTAATGACCGCCAATATTTTGATTTAGAATCTAGAATATTTGCTCATTTAACGAATGAAAGTAAGTATAGTTGAAATGGTTATCAGCAGGTAAGATTATAAATATAATTTTATCGTTTCATTAATGCATGAATAATTTATTATTTCAGATATTTTATTTAAAAATCAAATTACGATAGATGTATTGCAATCATTAAATTATCTAATTATGGAAGCATTAAATAGTTGCTCTAACAATCCAATATCAATCAGTTTACCTTTGGTATGACATAACAAAATATTATGTACATTTAAATTAGATTAAATTCTAAATATTATGYATTCATGTTCTTATCATACTTCAGAATATATATGGACGATAGTCATTACATGTTGGTAAATGTTATTTATTTGAAAGAATTTAGAGGTAATATCCTTAACCCAAAAGTGTTGAATATCGATTAGGTTTTAGCTATTAGGTATATAATTTTTATATTACTAACTACATGTCCTATCTAGCGTTGATCATGCCAAAGAGATTTTTTTTCAATATATCTAATGTAATATACATACTATATGTTACAATAGTAATATAATATGTAACCAAATATTAGCAACCCTATAAATAAACAAAAAAAATACCATTTATATAAAAATCCAATAGAAAAAAAGCTTCTCAGTTTTTCCAAAATTTTCTAATTTCCAACTAAATGTTCCTATTTTTCTTTCTGTAAAAACTTCATTCAGGATTTCACGAACATTAAAAAAAGAAGCAAATTAGTCATTTCCAGCCGTTCTCAATTGATGCGCTTACCAACGAACAGCTTTTCGTTTTCATTATATAGATTAATACCTAATTACACGGTTTTCGTTGTGTCCATTTATTTTTAAGTTGAAAATTATATAATTTAAGTACCTATTATTAATTAAAGTAAGAGTTTGAGTTTAAATAACATAACCATACATAAGTACATGATATAGTTATAATTTATATCTATTGTTTAAATGTTTAAAATATTAATATCCAATACAAAGTAAAGTTTTTTTATACCAATGTTTCTTATATATTTTATTTGAAAAATTATATTGTTAAGTGTACACTTATTACATTATTTAGTTTTGTCTTTAATAAAGTGAATTTATTTTTGTTGTTGTAGGAGTTCAATACTTTATATGGAAAAGAAGTAAAATCATTTGCCAATGGTATCATTACTCTTTTTATAGCAATGTAATTATTTTATTTTATTCTTACCTAGCAATTCACATTATTTTKAATATAATTTTGACAAAATATAAATTTTATAATTATAAAGATGTGTTTTGAAAATTCAGATACGATTCAATCAATGACAGCTAGGTACCTATTCTATGGGCCCTATGTTCTATACCATAGGGTGCTTATCATTATGGTTAAATATACATCTTTGTACGACATGTTCRMTCATCAGATAATACGACACATACTCTTAATTTTATGTTAAAATTATGATCATATTAATTGGGTCATATGTATGAATAAAAATTGTATTTATTTATTATTTATAGATGTGTAATTTACCATTTATTTTTATATTTTSTAATTAAAACAAATATTATATGAAATGTGGATTTATTTAAATCAATTWATTTTTTTATTTTTAGGGTAGCATTTTATTTTCCAAGTGTATTCGCGGTAAGCATAATGATGTCAGAAAAAATGGACGGACTTCTTAGCAGATCGATGTTTGCAGGTATCTAAACGCAAATTATTTTACACCAACAATCATATTACATATTTTTGAATATAAACAATAAGGCTATATTTGTTTCAGGTGTCAAAATTTTGGAATTGATTCTTTCTATGTTGTGTATCACAACAGTGTTACTTTTGTTACAAACAAGTTCCTCCTATTTTATTTCATATGTTTTATTTTTGAATCCAATACAAATTACTAATGGGATGTTTGTTTATGTGTTATTATTACTATTATTGGGATGGATTGGCTTCTTATTTGGTAAGTATTTAATTATAAATACATTTTATGTTCTTATGTTATATACTAAAAAKAACTAGTGAAATAAATAATTATGTTTTCACAATATAATTTGATCYATGTTTTAATTAACTATTARTACGAACAATATRATAATTATAATGTTTTGGTTTTAGGTTTACTTACTGCTGTAATATCAACTACAAAATTAGGCGGTGTATACATTATMACCGGATCATCTATGACTCAGTTCATATTATCAGGTAAAAATTGATTAAAATTTAAAAAATCACATAGTCAAAATATATAATGTTTTACTATCATTTAAAGTACCTAAGCAAGTTCTTAAGTAAATTAATAACGCGTAATACAWACCTACTTATAAGTTATAGTTACTGTACGCTTATTATTTGTAAAATGATCAAAACAAAGTATGTTATGCAATGTTATTATACTTAGGTGCAATATGGCCTTTGGAAGGACAGCCCCAATTATTAAGACAAGTATCTAAGCTACTTCCTATAAGACTAGTAGGAAATATAATGAACGACATAGCAATAAAAGGGTGGASATTGGATCATTCATCAATCATAACAGGAACTTCATTAACAATTTTGTACACTATATTATTAATACTTGTATTAATCGTATTAGGAAAAATAAAAAAAGACTTATGGGTTATAMAGAAATAGATATAGTTACGACATTAAACACAAATAATACTTCTTAGATAACAATGTTTGCTTTTTTAATCACAAAGTTAATTTTCAATATGATGTGCGTTAACTTATCATATAATTAACTGTATTACCTATACTTTAACTATATTTTATTTTCAAATAGCTTAGTCAAAATAATAAGTAATACGATTAATGGCATTATTAGATTAAATATATTCTGAAAAATTACAAATTTAACTTTTTCATGGAATATATGRTTTTTAGACAATYTTGTATAAGCGATAGGTGCTTGCGAGTTATTATATTTTTTCGAATATAATAATGACTAGATAAACACATTATTTATTTTATCAAACATATAACGTAAAAAATTCACAAATAATGAATTTTATATCTTATTATTGTAATTACAATTATTTCACAAATTTAATGTAATATGTTTTTATGCACTAAACCTATATTATATTATAATAGTTTAATTTGTCATAAATAATGCAAATGATTATTTAAAGTTGCGGTAATGAAAACTATTTTCCATGTATATAAATGTGGGTCATTTTTTTTTTTAAACTTGTTATTTTAGTGTGAATACAAATTACTGAATTTACAACTTATATATTATATTTGTGTATATGAATAACACGGAGGGATAATTTACCAAAACTAGGTGTATAATATTTATGCATATGCGATTAGGCATTTTATGTAGGTACAATGTATATAAGAAATTATGATGTAATTTTATTGAATATTTATTTGAACAACAAATCATAACTGTATATAATATTGTAAATGTATAAAATTGAAAAATAAAAAACTTTTTTAATATTAAAATTATTTTATGTATTGTGTTTAATTGGCTTGGGTTACTACATAATGTGTTCATTTTATTGGGGTTTAGTAAGTTCCCACATGAAACATAGTATAGGTAAGCGGGTAAATATGTAAGTTCCACAACGAAAAAATTACAGCTCTACGTAAGTTCCCACACGAACAATTATTTAGACTTAGGACTGACAATTTAAACGTAGGTAGTTAAAATTTGATTGTTTTTGTAAAAGTGAAGTCTTTTGTAAAGTTCAATACATTTTTTAATCTAGTTCCAAATATATACTAAAAATTAATAATATAATGTGCAGGTATATGGTCCAGATATTAATTGTACTTTCGCAAGTGTTTATAGTAAGACTTATATCAGAACTTGCACTATCTTCGATGTAATGTGTTTGAGCTTTCGCAATAAGCCAAATAAAATTTAATTTTTTTCTACTACTATTATCATTGATTGTAGAATCAATGTTATTATTACAACTTTTATTATTTTATACCTATATACAAATAATATGTGAACCTACACATTATATTATTAATTTTCGTTTTATATTTGGACTATATTCAATTAAAAAATTAATTGGATTTATTCTACGCAACACAAATACAAATACATTTTAGCTATACCAACTACGTTTAAGCTGTCAGTCCTAAGTCTGAATAAAGTGGGAAGGAAGTTTGTATTCGGTATAATTTTTTTTCGTGAGGGAACTTACGTACGCCTGTAATTTTTTTCATGTGGCAACTTACGTATGCATACCCTTGTGTGATTTTTACCTACTATATTTCGTGTGGGAACTTACATTCGCCTGTTTTATTATACTAATATTTTTTATTTTTTTTTTATTGATCTACTGCCCGGCGACTAAGGCCATTAGCTATACATAGATCATTCAGYGTGGGGTGGTACGGTAGGGGTTATTTTTGTGTATTGAGTTTGTAGGGTTGTAMCACGAGTTTGTGTATGTGTGGCAAGGATATGTTTCTAAAAATCACGGGTGGTCACCCACCCGGGAGCTAGCAACTGCGGCCGGTATGTGCACTCAGTGCGTTTCCGCAGATTGAGCGTGGGACCGCGTCTCACCAAGCCACAATACCATTATTATTTAGA